TTGAGGGAAGTGTATTCTTAAAGAAGGCGAGGGCATCCATCCTCAGGATCTAGGGTCAGCGGCAAGTTTAACAGCATATGGGAGTTTCCGAAAATAGGGGACCTTAATATAGTACCCCAAATAGTAGGATCCTTATTGTAAGGACCCCAAATAAGGTACCCCAAATTTCCAAAAACTCCCCTTTTGAAGGGCGGTCAGGGTGCCTGCCAAGCCAGATCTTGAGCATCCTCGCATCCCTATAGTGAATCCCATAAAGTTGGAAACCGGATTTAGGCCAAATAGTGCTGGGATTCCCTATACAGTACTGGTAAGGACTGAGGCTATTGGGCTTCCAACGTTTGGGCTTCTACTGTAGACCCCCCCAACTACCCTCTAATGTACCCTAAATGCCCTTGATTAAAGACCATCAGGGCTCCATTAAAGGGGCATGGGGGGGGGGGGTCCTGGTCCATGCTCACGATCTGATCTGGTTTTAAGTTGGAGGGCACTGGGCTTTTAGGGCGCATGTGCTTCTGAAGCTGCTCCGCAACAAGACTCCAAGCCACTTGGGGGGTCTTTTCGAGTGGTTTTCCTGATGTAAGGAAGAAGCTGAGACCTTGAGGCCCTAATTGAAACCAAACTCCTGAACCTACAAAACTCTCCACACTGACCTCCAGGACAAGCCTAAGCAACCCTAAGCCCTTAACTCTAACTCCAGACCAAAGCTATCATTTGCAGGCGTTTGGGGCTGCGGCCACAGGTGCAGGCTTCATACTTAATTTCCCATGGTGAGTAAAACGAGTTGGATGACAGGTATAGTTTAAAGTGAATGAAAACTTAGTTACCTACTTCATATGAGCGATTGAATAAATTGTGAGCGGTCTCTCCGGTTATACAAGGGTTGTGGATTTAGGGTTAGAGTATTGGGGTGGAGGGATTGGGGTTCTGCTAAACGGTATATCAGACCCAATTGGCATGTCATTTGTATTTCATGCTATAAGTGCCCTGTTCAGGGATATCTCGGTTTTGGCCTGACTTATGACCTACCGAATTAAACGAATACTGTAGTGAATGAGTCTCTAGAGCCATCTGAGTAGCTCACCCCTGGATCGTGAGCCGCAGGGCCTTAAGCTACACAGGGTCTCGGTCAAAGGACATAAGATGTCGTTAGGGTTGAGGGCTTGGGAGCGCAGCTGTATCACCTAAATGGAATACAGCAGCGAATCCCCAAAATCAGACTTGGACAGCAACACACCTTCATTCCGAAATTAAACCCTACAGCCCCAACCACGCTCCCTAACCCTGGAACTCGATCCAGCAGCATCTTCCGTCGTGCTCCTTCAGAAGTCTTAAACCATAAGCTTGTCCCTACCTCGCTGGCCGTCACGCTGCTTCCAGAGACCTCCGTCTCCACGACAGGCTTAGGGCTGTAGGATTACGAGTTGAAGGCTGTAATACAGGGGCGTTGACAATTACCTATACTATTTTGGGGGCTCCTTATTATAATTCTAGTATTATGGGCCCCAAAACCCTATTCTAAATACTAAGGCGCCTATAGAGGGGTCTCTAGTGTGGAGCTTTGGGTCAAACGGGTCTTAACATGTGTTGATGATGGAATTACGGGGGCTAGGAAGTTGAACAAAGCGCCCTTAGTATTTTGGGTGTTTCTGGGAATGTGGCGTTGCGATATGCTGCACAGTAGAATTTTTAAATCCATAAGACCTTCTTGGCTAAGACATCCTTTCGCACGCATCTAGACCTAGACCTATAGACTTAAACCAACTGACTCCCTCCGACTCCCCTCGGCATTTGCTGGGCTGCACCGTCTTATTTTAGGGGCCTTCATAATAATAGAACAAGGTTCTGGGGCCCATTTTTGTATAATTATACTAATCAGTAAGGAAGCCCCAAAATGGTATAGGTAAGTCTTTAATCCCCTTTAGTATGTCATTATCACGCTAGTGCTGGACAGCCTGGTGAATACTGTACAACACGTATGCTTCCTTGCAACAATGCCCGTGACCAAATTTGCTGTCCCTCGCTCGCCCTGCTTTGGCGTGCAAGCACTGTTCTCCCAGATCCAGTCCTTGCACCTACAACTTAGCTTTATTCTGCATTTCGTCCTCGCCAGCACTGCGTGCTCCTTCGAAAAAGAAAGCAGCGGACTCGACAAAGCACATGCGAAAGCTTCACATCCGTGGAAGGGTCAGCACCACAAGTCACCGGGCATGTGAGGATTTGAGCTCGCTCAGAAGCAACATCAAGAATATGTCAGGTCCTGCCCTGCTTCTCACACGACCCTTTTACCATAAGGCTCATCGGACGTACATCCTACATACAACTGTCTTTTCCATTCAGCTATCAGGTAGCAGCTATCAGCTACTGGTGCGTAGTGCTTCACATTAGCAAATGATTGCCCTGAATCTCTCAACCTTTCCTAAAGTGGCACCCCCAACTCGGAAACAGACATGTCAAGGTACCGCGTATAGGACCATGAGGACAAGTAAAACGCATCCCAAAGTGCCACCTTAGTAGGCAGGACAACATCAGATCCCATTTGGCTGAGCGGATGAGCCGCAGACGAAGCTGCGTCTGGCAAGCTGATCTGCTTGACCTGCACGGCAATCTAACTTCACAAAGAATTGACGGGGAAATCCGCGGTTAATAAACTTTGACATCAATAAAAAATCACAGACTTCCCCCACACCTTTCCTATCTTGTCTTCATATCGCAGCTTACCGGCGGCCCGATACAACCCTCCCTGTGATCAGTCCACGCTAGACGTGTGGGTTATCGCCGGTAGAGCCATGTCAACATCCTATAAAGGCAGGGCCCTCAACCCACGCCCCCCTGTCACGCTCCTGTACACGTCAAAACGCCTTGTAGAACGGTCATAAAGTCTCGCGCGAACACTGTACCCATAGGCCCCAAAGTAGTTCCTTTTTGGGATTACATTATAGGATTCTGAATATGAACCAGAAAAAGGAACTACTTTGGGGCCTTAAGGTAGCAGACTCCAGCGACCTCCTCCCGACCCTAAACCCTCAACCCGAATACAGCCACTGTGCACAACCCAAAGAAAGCCTGCACGCAGACCTCGTGCTAGCATGCTACTACAGCGGTCTCGACAAATCGCAAGACTTTCAAGTTGAACTATAACATGCCCGACATGCTGTTCTACTTAATATGTAAAGGCCTCAACATCAAGCCCGAAACCCTCATAAAGCAATCTCATAAACCCCTTTTCTAACTTGCGCGGGCTCAGTCCTTACATAGCCAAAACATAAAAGCCCCCCCCCTTCAACATAAAACCAGACACATTCTAAGCTCCTAAAGCCCTTATTCGAAGCTCATCGAATCCTAAAGTCCCTGACATGACCCTAAACCCTAAACCCCCGAACCCTACTACCCTAAACCCTACCCTAAACTCCAAACCCTACCCTCATCCCCAAACCCTACCCTAAACCCAAAAACCTACCCTAAAGCCCAAACTCTACCCTAAACCCCAAACCCTACCCTAAGCCCTAAACCCTACCCTAAACCCTAAACCCTACCCTAAACTCCAAACCCCACGCTAAACCCTAAACCCTACCCTAAACCCTCATTACGCCCTACCCTAAACCCTAAACCCTTGTGAAATCTTCAGCGCGAAGGCACTTCGAGCTCCATTCACCTTCAGTTGGACATGTCCGCTCTTCCGCAACTCCGGGTTCAAGGTCCGGAGAGGGAGGGCACAGGGTTTACGTCTCGGGGAGACGCATGGACTCTTGAGCGATCGGTGAAAACAAGGCCGGAGCCTTGAACTGCACAGGCGTGCATATCTTTATCTGACCGGGTCAGTATACATTTCTTCTTTCTTCTTTGCTGCATCAGAATCTCCTATAGCGGGGCTATCTTCGAGAAGTTCTGAGCTGCATCCCATTGGGCTACCAGGGTGAACTTTATTGAGTTCACACTGGTAGCGGAGCTACCTGCTTCGCCACCTCTGGCGGAAAAGCTGTTGATCCTGGGATTTGTCTTGGCGCGAAAGCATGCCACCGGCTACTGCGACTGCCACACCGGCTCCGACTCCGGCGGCGGAGTCCTCTAGCAGTTTCCAGCTACCATGGCAGGCCATTCCGAGATTCATACCGGGGACTACGGATGTGACAGAGTACAGCAAGAAGCTCCAGTTCCTTGCGGCGATGTGGCCGAAGGAGCATCTCTCCTTGTTGGCGCCCAGGGCGGCGTTGATGTGCGAGGGAACGGCATTCAAGAAAGTGGCGTCCTTGGACGCCGAAAAGTTGAAGGCCAATGATGAGACCGGAGTAAAGCTCCTAGTGTCAACCCTGGGTGGCTCCTGGGGTAAGACTGATCTGGAGAAGAAGTACGACAGCTTCGAGAAAGCGATTTATGGTACGACCCAGAAGGCAGACGAGACCAATGACAGCTACCTGGCAAGGCACGATGTTCATTTTGAAGAGCTGCTGGCTGGTGGTGTGACTTTGAAGGAGATCCGAGCGTACATTCTTCTACGCCAATCCCAGTTGTCTTCGGACGATCGGAAGCGGATTGTGGTAGAGATGGGCGGTACCTTGGAGTATGGCAAAGTCAGCCAAGCTATCCGGCTGCTAGGGTCCCGATTTTTCACGGATTTGCAAGGACAGCGCAACAGCAAGTCGAAGACCTACGATGCAAATCACGTGGATGAGAACATCGACGAGGAGCCCGATCGAGGAGTTCCAGCGGCTGCCGCTCATTTCACCGATGAGGGCGAAGCCGATTTGGACAACGAGTACATCGAGGCGCTTGTGGCAGCAGAAGATCAAGATGCCTTACAGGTTCAAGCGTTTGAGGAGGAGCTGGAAGGCTTCTTCCAGGACACTCCTGACCTGCAAGATGCACTGGTGAATTACTTGGAAGCTCGCAATCGTCTTCTTGCGAAGAAGCGAGCTAGAGGTTTCTGGCCAGTTGGAGCAGGCGGGAAGGGATCCAAGGGCGGACGTTCCGCCAAAGGCGGAAAGGGCAAGGGCAAAAATGCCCGCGAGCAACTGCTCGCACGCATCAGCCGAAGCAACTGTAGACTGTGCGGCGAACGCGGACATTGGAAAGCAGAATGTCCCAAGCTGGGCAAGGGAAGCGGTCACGCCGGAAAGAGCGAGATGGCCACTACTACGGTTGCCGAGGTCGATGAATCCAATTTTGCCACCCTGGATGAAGCCGAGGTTCAGATTGCTGAGGTCTGCACTAGCCTCCCCGAGGGAGCGCTGACGATGGAAGAGGCTCACTTTGCTTCCTGTGGTTGGAATAAAGGGGTTATTCAGGAAAGACTTAATCAGGTTGTGAAGAACTTTCGAGCCTTTCAAAAGAATCGTAACATCCTCCCAAGCAGGCTGCCAAGCAATGGGGAAACCTCCTCGACTGATCGCCGTGCCAAGGAACCCTTCGTAGGCTGCCGAAAGTGTTCTTTTGAGGTTGTGCCCAGTGCCGCAACGGCGCTGATCAGCCACGGTCCCATAGAAGCCATTTTGGATACGGGGGCCAGTCGGTGTGTCATGGGCAAGCAGCTTGTGCTCGGCTTCTTGAGCCAACTGGAAGAGCAGGTTCGGCAGAAGGTTAGAACTACGAAGAGCGAAGTGCAATTCAGGTTCGGTAACAATCAAACCTTGCGTAGCCAACAGCGTATCTTGCTTCCTTTCCGAGCTGCTCAAGGACAGATTTTGTGGCTAGGGATTGAGGTCGTGCCAGGTGGTACCCCCTTGTTGTTCAGCAAACGTGCCCTGAAACAACTTCAAGCTGTCATCGATACCCGCACGGATCAGTGCCACCTGCATCGCCTCAGCAAGTGTTTGAGCCTGCACACTGGGCCTACAGGGCTCTACATGATCGATCTTGCCCGTCTGTGCGTTGAAAGTGACCGAGAGCAAGCCAATCAGGCATTGTGTGAAGATGATGCTGCACTTGCAAACAGCGCAGACCCTCTCCTGCATGCGTCCGAGAGTCCTGATCTGGGACAGAACTCACATCCGTGTACAGCTGGAAGTAAGAAGTCCTTTAGAACATCAGGATTTAGGAATTCGGGTTTTACGAAGATTGGTAAAACCATAAAGGTTGATAATGTACCCACGTCTGAGCCGAAGCCGACTGTGACGTGTAACCACTCACCGATGAAAGCAGTTGCCGCCAAGACTGAGCCCAAGCCTGCGCTTTCTTCAGCCTGTGATCCCGTGTTGCTCCCTTCTCAACATGTCGCAGGGCAACCGTGCTTTGGCCGTTCGCTTCGCCCGTTTGAACGAGCCGCAGCTGCGGTTCACCATGGACGAGATTCGCACCATGCCTTTGGAAGAGCTGGGTCGGTTCACAATCGACTTCGGCAAAGCCATGCATGGACGGTCCTACGTGGACGTAGCCGAGAACGAAAAGGGATGGTGCAAGTGGATCATCGAGCATATGGGCCAAAGCGAGAAGCGTTGCCACCAGGCTTTCATAGCCTATCTGGAGCGCTACGTGGATCAAGCCGAAGCCGTGGAAAGTGCCCTTCTGGACACCATGGAAGCTGTGCTCGAGACCGAACCTTCGGCCACTCGAGGTCGGCCCAAAGCTGCAGCCAAGAGCATCAGCCGCCCGCCGGCCCAATCCTCCGAAGCCGTGCCCGAAGCCTGGGACTTGGTGAATCAAGATTCGTCCGATCCACCTCTCGATCACCAGGTCACGTCTTTGGCCACTCGCGTGACCCACATGGAAAGTGTTTTGCAGCAAGTGCTGATGGCTGTTCAGGATCTGTCTGCGGTTGCTCGCAACTCCTGAGCGAGATAGCCACCTGCCAGCATGAACTGAAGGAAGCGTGTGCGTTCCAGGCGTTTGACCCACAGGTCATCGAAGAGCCTGCAAAACAACTCCTAGACCAACAAGCTCCCCTACCCGAGCTTAAGAAGTTCCTTCGATCAATCCCCTGGGACAAGCTTAAGACACATAGCGCGGGAACACGAACTGGACTTGAACTCTTAGAAACTGAAGACAATAAAAATCCTGCTTATGTGGTGTTCGGGATGTTTGTTCATGGGGGCAAAGTAGGCATCACCAGAGTCTCGCGTGACTTTCCCTGGTTGACCCAAGTTCTGGTGCGCATGATCAAGTTGACGGACCCCCATCAGCAAGTAACATCCATCACCATATCCCGAAACACCCGATCGACCCCACACCGAGATAGCTTCAATTCACTGGCGATCCCGAACATAGTCATTCCTTTTGAGTATCCACGTGCTGGTGGTGAGATCTGGATCGCTCAGCCGCCTGCGGCAAATCAGCAGAGCAAGACCCTGATGTGTCGGGGGCAAGAGATTGATGGTTCCCTTCAGTCCTTAAAATCCGCAGTTTACGTGAATCCTCACAAATGGCATGCCACCATGCCATGGGAGGGAAATCGATCTGTTGCAATCGGCTACGCTGTGAAGCCTGTCTGGAAGCTGGAGGCTTCCGATCGTGCTTGGCTGCTTCGACAAGGGTTCGCCTTGCCGACTTGCAATCATCCAGCATTCCCTAAAGTAGCTTCCCGTAGCATCGCCAACGCCCAGAGGGTCTGTCCTGAGTCAGCCCTTCGACAAGAGCTGGATGCATCCCAGCATATGCTGAGCAAGTCCTCCTTGGCAAACCTGGCTTCCAGCGTCGATGCAGCCAGTAAGAGTGCTTTCAGTGTTGCCGAAGACATTTCCTGGAGCACGTTCCAAGACTCCTTGCTTACCTATGGTCAAGCGACAGGGCCTAGGTTAGATGTTTTAGAGATATATGCTAGTGAGGATAGTCGATTGACAACCTGGGTTAGAAGCTTGGGGGGAAAAGCGCAGCGCTTCACAGCAAAGGATGGAGATCTAACCACTGCATCAGGCCAGCGTGCTCTCTGGGATTTGATTCAGAAGACGCAGCCTCAGCATGTTTGGTGTTCGCCGGACTGTCGCTACTGGGGGTCCTGGACAAACTTGAATGCTGCCCGATGTCCCAGATATCGTTCCCATGTTCACCAACAAAGGGAACAGCAGCAGGTTCACTGGAAGCTTTGCACAAAGATTTGTCAGTGGCAGCATCAACACAATCGGGGTTTTCACTTAGAATTACCTTCCGGTGTTCAACTACTTGGATCACCTGAGCTTGAAGCCATTCAGCAACAGACCCGCCGTGTAACGATCGACATGTGTGTGTTTGGACTCCAAACTCCTGTCAGTCAGAAGCCAATCAAAAAGACCACTGTGATTCTTAGCAACTCCGATGACCTTATTCAACAACTGGTAGACAAGCAGTGTCAAGGTAGACATGTTCATCAGGCGATAGCCGGCCGTTTGCGCGAGCTCCAAGGTCAGACTGTGGCAAAGTTTGCGGGCACATACTGCTCTGGGTTTGCGCATTATGTTGCCCGTCAGCTGTTGAAGCAAGCAGCTGAGAAGGCTTGTGCTGCTGAGGATGTTCCCCAGTTCACCCGCAAGAGGTTTAAGACATCCACGGGCATTCCCGCGCCCAGCAATATCCTTGGCTCCCATAAACGCCCTGCAGCGGAAGCAAATGATGACCGGAGTACCGCTGTCCGAAAGCTTGATCCGGTGCTGAATCCTGATGTGCATGCTCCGTCTGAGTTGCCTGCGGATGTGTGGCAATCCATTTTTGAGGTTGCTTCTTCCTGTGGACACCGTCCCGCTGCAGCGCTTGTCTCCCCACAACATGATCTGATCCCCGCTTTGCAAGCCGGGCTTCCCCAGTTTAGCATACAGCAAGTATTTGTTGGAAAGGGAAGCCGCAACCTTCAGAGTCCTCTAGGTGCTTTGCCTCCTACGGTAGCGCCCTGGAGAATAAGTCTGGGGTCTCGTGTTGCTGCGGATGGAACGAGGAAGTACTTTTGCTTGGGCAACGAAGATCGCACCACGATGTCTGCCGAGCGGAAGAAGCTTCGAGTGCCAGTTGTCGAAGTTTCCATCACTGTGCTAGGTCATACCCGAGATATGAGGTCTCGTCCGGAAGCTTCGATTTCGTCCGGAGAAAAGCCGAGTTCCGAAGGTGATCCGAAGCCAGATATCGAAGGATGGGCACCTCCTCCGGTGCCACTGCATGGACCTGCCTTTAGGAGCCTCGCCCCAGAGGATAAGAGCCGCTTGATTCGAATCCACAACAATCTCGGACACCCTAGTCCTCAAACCCTATCCCAACACTTGAAGGCAGCGAAGGAGAGTCCATCCTTGATTGAAGCGGCACTGGAATACCAATGCGATGCGTGCCTTGAATCCACCGAGCCCCGACATCAACGCCCCAGCAAGCTTCCCGAGCCCAAGGAGTTTAACGAGTTAGTGGGAATAGACGGGTTCCAGTTCAAAAGTCGTTCCGGGTATAGTGTCAATGTGATCCATGTGTTGGACGAGGCTAGCTGTTTTCATCTAGGACGGCGAATCAACACGCGACATGGCTCTCAGGCCATTAAGACTGTCTCGGAATTCTGGACGTCCTGGGCCGGACAACCCCGCAAAATTTATCTGGACCCGGCTGGGGAATTTCGCTCTGAAGAAATGTTGAGTGTCTTTCAAGGTATGAGTGCACGAGTCTTTGTCAGTGCGGCAGCTTGGCAACGCGGCCGAGTTGAGAGACATGGGGACATAGTTAAGGATATGTTGGCCCGAATGGACACCCAAGCTCCCATCATAAATGACGATACCTTTGATCAAGCACTTCTCCAGGTTTTCCAAGCTAAGAATGCCTTAGTGCGTCATCAAGGTTACTCCCCAGAACAGATCGTCTTAGGTAAGTCTGTCCGGGTGCCAGGAAGCTTAACATCTGATGAGGATTTGTCTTCCCATGCGATCACAGAAGGCCTAGATCTTGAAGCCGAGCAGCACCGTCAGCGCTTAGAACTCCGTTGCCAAGCCCGCCGAGTCTTTTGGGAAGCCGACAACAACCAAGCCATACGACGAGCCATACTTCGTAGGAGTAACCCTGTTCGAGGCCCATATCGACCGGGAGATTGGGTACTGTACTGGCTCCGCAAATCATCCCCGAATAGGTTGGCAGCCGGCCGTTGGCATGGTCCCGCTAAGGTTATTTGTCAAGAGGGTTTATCCATAGTTTGGGTTTCCCACGGGACAACTGTGCTCCGCTGTGCGCCAGAGAACTTGAGGCCCGCTAGCCTGCGGGAATGGCAGAGCTTAGCCCCATCGGACCATGAGGGATTACATAAGAATACTGGGGGTTCGAGTTCCTTTGTTGACTTAACAGTTTCCAACGCCCCGAGCGCTGAAAGCTCTCAGTCAACTGCACCCTCTGCCATTCCAGAAGTGGGAGCTCCTCAAGCCACTCGTGCCAATGCACCCACGCCTACCGAAGATCCGATTGAGCAACCTGAGCATGAGCTGACTCCCCAAGTGTCACAAGGTGTGGATGACGCTCAGGAACAGAGTGAGGTTGAGCGCGGAACAACTGGTTCAGTTGTGCCTGCTGCCCCTTCGCCTGTGCCAGCTCCGACTTCCCCGGAAGCCTTTGAGCCATCTGCGTCCGAGGCTGAAATCCCGAATGCAACCAATATCCCAGTGCCCGGGTCCGATGAAGGTTTAGTAGTTGAGGATCTTCTTCTCGCCAGTACTCCTTTAAGTGCCGAGCCCGGAGAAGCAGATGAGCTGATGAGTTTCTTGACTTTGCAGGCCGGTGACCAGTCTTCGGGTCCGCCGCTCGCTGAAGATAATCTCCCCTACGTTGAAACGCCTCTGGATTGTGCCGAGCACCAAGCTTTCTGCCTTGAGATCCCAGTGAATGCTAAAGCAGTCAAACGGTGGGCCCAAGAAAAGTCTCCTGAGCAAATGGTTGCATTGGCCTCCTTAAGCAAGCGAGCTCGAGCCGAAGTCTTTGTCAAAGACTTGTCAGCTGCTGAGCGTGAGTTGTTCGAGGTCGCCAAGTCCAAAGAGATCCAATGCTGGCTACAAACATCAGCCATTAAGCCCATACTCAGACAGAAACTCAATCCTGAGCAAATCTTGAAGAGCCGTTGGATTCTCACGTGGAAGGCCCCAGAAGTCGGAGAGGTGCATCAACGCGCCAAAGCACGCTTAGTGGTTCTAGGGTTTCAGGATCCAAAGCTAGTTGATGTTCATCGTGATGCCCCCACGCTGTCTCGAGAGGGCAGAGCACTGGTTCTCCAAACCATAGCATCTTCAAAATTTCTACTTAGTTCATTCGACATCAAGACAGCCTTTCTACGCGGAAAGGCGGATGCCAATAACCCCCTTGCCATGGAGCCCCCTAACCCAAAGGCTCTTCGATTGATAATTATCGATCGAACGCTCGAAAATATTGTATTTTCTATCTACGCTCGAAAAACCTTTTTAAGCTATGCAAATCAGTCGAACAACTGGGTGGTTCGCTCGATTCCTCGATTGAATTTACATGAAACTTCGCTCGATTCCTCGATTGAATTTACAACTCCACCGCTCGATTCTTCGCTCGATTCCTCGATCGAATTTCAAGTGACCAAAGTGTATATTGTTTTCCCCATATATCGTTCATTTTTTCTACTCTGTATATATATATATATATATATACATATACATGTATATAGATGTGTATATATATATATATATATATGTATATATATATATATATACACATATATTTATAGATGCATATATATATACACACACATATATATATATATACATATATATATATATATGTATATATATACATATACATATATATATATATATATATATGGTGTAATATAATATATAATGTCTGGACAGACATTATTTGTCATGTTGTTTTATAATAGTAATCTTATGAATGCCTGGACAGGCAGCAAGTGCAAGTCATGATGTATATACCGAACCGAAGTTTTTCTTCAAGGATATCTAGCACCTCGATCGAGCCATGGAAACACCTCCGAAGAGGACTCGAGAAGCTGCAGACAGCACGCCCGAGCACGCCGAGAAGAAGAGGAAGAAAATGGATCAGTTTCCAGCACATGTGTTGGCGATGATCGAAACTCTCTCGCACATGGCTGTGAGGGCCACGAACCTGGCGAACTCCCTGATCGTCGAGTCCCATGAGCCAGAGAATCCAGACGATGCTGTGACTTTGATCTTGGGACACCTCGACGACATCGACGACCGGATTCGGGCTTTGGACGAGGAGCTTGAACAGATCGAGAACATGAACTGATGTAGATACAGGGAGTCGCCGAGCTGTAGCTATAGGTGCAGTTTTGGAATCTGAGTGTCTGCCAAAAGAGCATGGAGGAAAGGTGAGAAGAAAATGTTCTTGTTGCAGTGGAGCATGGACTTGCCAATGTCTGGACAGACATGGAAGACGATTTTGCAACAGTTGGTGTGCATATGATGCTTGGAGATCAGTTTTAGGAACATAGGGCCAGGCAGCGAGCCTAGAGCCAGCTCCCGAGCCATGGGTAAGGGAGGTCCTCACCGACGAAAGGTGCCAGATACAGACTTGGTGCATCTACAGGATGTGCTGTCGGAGGCGATTAAGCTGGAGGGAGGCCTGAACTTCTACGAGTACATGAACATGAGCAAGAGTCAGGCGATCTCTGGGGCCTCCTTGTGTTCCCTGAACTCCTTGATCACCAAGGTGATGGAAGTGCAGCCGGCCCTGATCTTTAAGTATCAGGACCTGAAGACAGTGTTTGGGACTTTGGTGAAGACCTTTGCCAGTCTACGAGAAAGTGTGCCAGTCACCGAACAAGGAATCCTGCACCAGAAGTATGCGAATGCCCTCATGACGGTAGCAGCACACACCCGAAGACTCCGAATCGATCAGAAGTTCAGAGAGTGCTGCAGCAGCCTGAGCACGTGGCAGACAGACAAGCTGGCTGCACTGCGAAAGTTGCTGCTGGAGTGTGACGACGATGACAGCTCGGAGTCCAGCAGTGAGAGTGAAGAGAGGACGAAGAAGAAGCAGAAGAAGAAGACTCTGGCCAAGGACGACAAGAAGGAGAAGAAGAAGACGGACAAGGTCAAGAAAAAGACCACCAAGGACAAGGGCAAGGACAAGAAAAAGAGCAAGGACAAGACCGACGAGAAGATCACCAAGCAGGACAAGGACAAGAAGAAGAAGGACAAGACCGACGAGAAGACCACCAAGAAGGACAAGGACAAGAACAAGAAGAAGGACAAGACCACGGAGTCCGACGACGACGTGCACAGTTTGGCAACAGTGGACCTGATGGACTTGGAGATTCCTGCTACCCAGTCGTGCTCAGAGGCTGAAAGTCAGGGCGACCTTCGAAAGGAAGCTGCAGAAGCTGTCCCTGTACCATGTCGCAAGAGGACAATGAATGAGCAGATGAAGGAGACGAAGGTTGAGCTGAAGACGAAGAAGAAGGAGCAGGACGACGAGAAGAAGAAGAAGAAGAAGAAGAAAGTGATGAAAAAGCCGACGACGACGAAGGCAATGGCAAGTGCTCCTGCAGACACCGTCGACCTCACGAAGGTGAAGCTCGTGCTGATGCCGTACAACTGCGGACGAGTTGCAATCCGCATCCAGAACGGCAAGCAGCTCTTGCAGATTTCGAAGTACACGCCCAAGAAGAACCGGAGTACTGCCCTGAAGCTGAAAGAGTACCTGGAGATGGGAATGTCTCTCGATCGTGTGCTGGAGATGAAGGCACAGATGTCCTGAATTATGAACGATGGCATATATGGACATATGGATCCGTGATCAACGAATGCAGTCTTGAGGTAGAAAAAAGAACAGATGTTTGAAGTGTTGGGGGGGAGCTTGCTGCCTTGTAAGTTTGGTAATGTCTGGACAGACATGCTTGAGCTTTCTGGTGATAATGTCTGGACAGACATGCTGAAGCATTTCGGCTGCATGTGTTTAGTGTATTGTCTGGACAGACATATACTTGACTAATGTCTGGACAGACATGACTGCAGAGCTTTCTGGTGATAATGTCTGGACAGACATGCTGAAGCATTTCGGCTGCATGTGTTTAGTGTAATGTCTGGAAAGACATATAATTGAGTAATGTCTGGACAGACATGCTGAAGCATTTCGGCTGCATGTGTTTAGTGTAATGTCTGGACAGACATAAACTTGAGCAATGTCTGGACAGACATGCTGAAGCATTTCGGCTGCATGTGTTTAGTATAATGTCTGGACAGACACATGAAGCAAGTTTCTGCTTTTGAGCTTGCGAATATCTGTGTTTTTCTGTTACATATTGCTCAAGATATCGTGGCAGACAACAGAGCGCCAAGTGTAGCAGGAGACTGCCAGGAAACACATGCAAGCATATGGAGGCAGGACCAGGAACAGAGTAAGTAGAAAGATGGCCGACCTCGGCACTGGAGCCTACGACCGCAGAGGCCGAGATGTGCCAGCGAGTCTGGGCGGGAAAGGCTTCGACAGCCTGGGCGAGGACATGTCGGGCGGCAAAATACTTGAGTAATGTCTGGACAGACATGCTGAAGCATTTCGGCTGCATGTGTTTAGTATAATGTCTGGACAGACACATGAAGTAAGTTTCTGCTTTCTGGGCGAGGACATGACGGGCGGCAAGATGGCGAGGTTGTGGCGAGACAATATGCGAGCCATCTGGAGCCGCAAGTCGTACGACATCCCGCTCAGTGCCTGGATGGACTTGGTCGTCGAGGAGGCGGAGGACAAGAGCCAGGTACCAAGAGGAAGCGGGGAAGCACACAGAAGCTACCTTCGACGTGTTTTCGTTGAGAGCCCGTTCAAGACCTACGAGCAGATGATGGAGGAGATAGTCAATGGACTCGAGAAAAAAGATGAGCAGGAGAGGTCTGAAGGACCCGGGACAGACCTCAAACCCTAAACCCTCAACCCAACCCTGTGAACCCTAAAACCCAATAAAACCTCGAACCCTAAAGAACTCAATTTCAAACCCCTAAACCCACTACACAGGAGATGGAAAAGGAAAAGGAGGAGGGAACATGGACGTGGACCAGCGAGACTGGCAGGCTGGCCCTTGGGTTTCGGACTTTGAAATGTCTGGACAGACAAGCTTATAAATGCATGGTATGATTGGGTTTCGGACTTCGAAATGTCTGGACAGACAAGCTTATAAATGCATGATTTGATTCGTTTCGGCCTCTGTTGCAGGACGATGCAAGTCAGTGGTCTTGGAGTCGAGAGGCCATTGAAGCAGAGTGTTATTGTCTGAGAATGAATGCTGAAAAATTTTGCCAGGAGTGGTCAGCATGGGGTGCTGGCTACCAGAACGAGTGGGACTGGCAGAAGCAGGACAAAGACCATTGCCGGGGTTACTTGTTAGGAGAATAGTTTGGAGTTTGCATTTGTTTTAAATGTCTGGATAGACATGTTTATGGATCCGAATGCATCGGCCCCTGCAGAGGATTGGACCTGGGACCAGAGCCAGACCCAAGAGACCCAGGACCAGGATCGGAAAATAAAGTCCGGACGGACTTTTGTGAATGTGTTGAAAGCATCGCCCCACGCACAGGCCATGTGGAGCCAAGAATCCCCTCGAGAGGACCAGGCCCAGGACTCGTGTCATTGACAATTTTAAAGTCTGGACAGACTATTTTTAATGTGTTGAAATAGCATCGCCCGCTGCAGAGGCCATGTGGAGCCCAGAGCCAGGAGCGAGCCAGGCCCACGACCCATATATCATTGAATATTATAAAGTCTGGACAGACTTTTTGATGTGTTGAAATAGCATCGCCCCCTGCAGAGGCCATGTGGAGCCAAGAGCAAGGAGGGATCCAGGCCCACGACCCATTGAATATTATAAAGTCTGGACAGACTTTTCAATGTGTTGAAATATAGCATCGCCCCCTGCAGAGGCCACGTGGAGCCAAGAGCAAGGAGGGATCCAGGCCCATGAGCCGTGTCATTGACATTATAAAGTCTGGACAGACTATTTTGAATGTGTTGAAATAGCATCGCCCGCTGCAGAGGCCACGTGGAGCCAAGCGCCAGGAGGGATCCAGGCCCACGACCAATATATCATTGAATATTATAAAGTCTGGACAGACTAATGTGTTGAAAGCATCGCCCCCTGCAGAGGCCACGTGGAGCCAACAGCAAGGAGGGAGCCAGGCCCAGGACCCATATATCTGGACAGACTTTTGAATGTGTTGAAATAGCATCGCCCCCTGCACAGGGCCCTTGGAGCCAAGAGCAAGGAGGG